CCCAGCGCCTGCTGATCCCCCCTAACCAGTTTATAACAGGCCACAAGATCCCCCGTATGTTGGGAAGGGAGCCTACGGGGTGGGCTACTGCCAGGGCCATGCCTGGGGTGGTGAATAGGGGCAGCCACTCTGTGCTTTGGGGGGCCCTGCAGAGCCAGGCAGAGAGGCTGCGGCCCCTCCTGCAGGCCCACCTAGCTCTGGTGATTCCATGCCTCTGGCTTCACATCCAGCCGCTCACTGCACCTCCCTCTCCCCCTGCCACCACCAGCTTCTTCATGTCCAAGCCCTGCACAGGCTGATTTGCCTTGGACCCTGCTAGGATCATCTCTGGCTACAACCATCCCAAAATTCACCATAGCCCTCCTGAACCTCCTCTCCCAATGTCACCACCGCCCACCCTAAGCGCAGCCCCAATGCACCCCCCCGCTGGGAAGAGCCCAGCGTCGCTTTTGGTCCCAGTCTGCAGTGGCAGCCCGCTCTCACCCCACCTGTAGATCTGGGCAGCACATGCTCGCCGTGCCTCCCATGGAGTGCGCGCAGTGGTAGGAGCCAACCCTCCCTCCCTGCGCCTCCCCAGACAAGCTGCTTGTGGCTCCGTCCCATGCCCCACCCCTCCCCAATTGTGCAGCTTCTGCCCCTGCCCCTACCCCAGCTCCAGCCCCACTTCCTCCATCACTGTGGGGGCCTCAGTCTGCCCCCTGCCCCTTTCACTCTACAGACTTACCAGCCAGACACTGCTCTCCAAGCTGCCAGGCTTGCATATCAGCAATCGGATTGGCATCAGCTGATATGGCTCATTAATAATCAGCCATCAGTACTGGCCCAAAAAATCTGTATCAGTGCATCGCTAATATTTGCAGTGCTCATCTGCCAAATTCCTAAAGACTATTTTTCCTAAAGGTTTTGCCATATGTACATGTTAATTAATACAGTTTAAATTCCCTAGTTTGAGGAATGGTTGGTTTTGGGGGCAGCCTTCACTCCTTCATACTCTTGCCTAGGCATATGCATCAGAGGTCTTGGTGTGATTGTCACAGACCTCTTACGCGTGCACTATGATCCAGAGAATCAATGGCTGCCTGTTGCATAGTCTCTCTTGCCAGGTCTCTTGCCTCATGAGTCATGTTTGACTTGCACTTTGGAGCTCAGCACGTTCATGTCCTGTGTAACCTTTCTTCCTAATTCTTTTCATAACATCCCTAAGATCCCTTCTTCACATTTTCTTTATCAGTAACAGTATAAATCATGTGCAGGCCCTTATTCTTCCACCTTGCCTACTGTAAGCTTCTCACTAACCTTCCTGATATCCATCTCCTCTCCCTTATGTTCATTCAAGGTGCTGCTGCTAAGATGGTCAACCTGTCCTGTTCTAACCATGTGCACCTACCAACCTTCCCTGATCTTACGTCGTTTGCTTATCTGATTTTATGTTTCTCCCCAACTTCTCCACCTGTCTGCTTCTACAGGAATGTTCCTTTTTTTTTATTATTTTGTGATAATGAAATACCATCCCTGAAATAATCCAGGTAAACAGGATCTTATTTTTAAAACTTCTCATCAGGAACTATTTAAAGCCAAATACTGTACATTAATAGTGTGGAAAGCTATTGTAGGGCATTTATATCTTGTTTAATATATAGCTTGTACTTTAAGTTCAGAAATTCAAAATAACCTCGTTTTGTACCCACACAGTCTATTAATGCACAATTCTTCCTGTGTGAGCTCAATTCTTAGTTTTATTTTTGTTCTCCCTTTGGATTGTTGCACACACATTTTGAGTCTTGTCATCATTGGACGTTATACCACTAGTGCATGGACTGTAACTTTCTTTTTGTATAGTGCTTCACAATAATATACCACAATTCTACTTGGAGTTTCCAAATTCTACTATAAGATGAATAATAGTACTAATATGTCTCATTTCATTTGTCTTTATCTGTATTATTTGACTATGTTGTAATTTTGTAAATTTTTTATAATCCGTGAAGAGGTATTCTGCAAATCTGTATGTTAGGAGGATAGCTAATATCCTTCTACAACATTAACATTTTAAATACAATCATGTAACTGAAGCAGGATAAGGAAGGATATTATTGTAGTAAAAACACTATATTGTGACTTGGGACCTGTGAGCTCAACTCATGGCTCTGTCACAGGCTTTTTTGGAAACTCAGACAAGTCATGTATTTTTTTTGCCTCAGTTCTCCTTTTGCAAAGTGGCAGTGATGCTTCCTTACCAAAACCTACTTGTAAAGCACTTCCATAGCCCAAGTAACAGGTCCTTATCAGTACCAAGATAAAACAATTAAGCTTCTATTGTGTCAGGAACAGTAGTGTAAACAGTGCTTATGTTAAATTCACATCTAGTTATTGGTATGAGTTAGCTAATAGAAAACTAGGTTTTCTGTCTTTGTAGAACATCTAAACTACCTATGATATGCTGTAGGTGCATTCATGAAAGGGAAAATGTTAATTATTCATAGTGCTTTGCTGTACTATAAAAGTCGATTTATTGAAACGGTAATTTGTTCAAGTTGCATCTGGTAGGAAAATATATCAGGAGTAATTAATTGTATTCAAGATGTGATGGGGTATATATATCCACAGAGGACAATTGAAAACAGTAGCAGTATGGTATTGATTGCCTTTTAGAGGAAAAAGTCTTGTCCCATTTCTAAATGTTAACAATTCAGAGAGAAAAATTCCCACTTGGGAAGAATGTTTTCCAGGTTGCTTCATTGCCAGGTGTTTGACATTGAGTGGAGCCTTAGATGAATGAAGCTTATGGCAGCCTTTGGAAATGACCGACTCAGGGGAATCTCAGCTTCCTGCTGTGAAAGTTTCTATTTTCAAAGCACATCAGTTTCAGTGGGAATGTTCCAGTGGTCCCATATGCTACTTCTGACAGAGAGCTAAGTTTCTACCCTGAATATGAGACAGCTACTGAAGAGGTTCCCTTGCTGCTAACAAAATGAATTTCAATATGTTGCCAGTGAAAAAGCGGCATGTTCCCAACTGCTAATGGAATTTAACTCCATCAATTATTAATGGAAATTTGCTTTGTTTTCCTTCTACCTCTTCCCTTTTAACTCCAGTACATGCTACTGATATGACTTTGTGGGTTCTGAAACTGAAAAAGAATCGCCCAAACAATATGCTAGTTTGCTTTGAAACTCTTGCTATATTTTCCTCCCCTCCCTCACGCTCTCTCCTTGACCTAGCAGCAGGAAGCCTTTGTCTGAGGTGTTCATCTGGAACAACTTTTCCACACTTGTTTTCATGTTCTGTTAGATTACAGGGCAGCAGGCCTACCTTTGAAGCTCCCTTCTCTTTTGTTTCTTTGCAGTGCACTCCAGTAATTAACTTTGTCCTTCTTTTATTTGTTCCAGTCAATCGCAGTCCACTCTGCTGAGCATCTTCTCCCAGGAGTACCAGGTTAGAAGTTTTCTCCTTTGTGAGGGTTGACAGGTGCCTAATTGAATGATGAATGTCCCTTTATTTCTTTGTAATTGAACTGCCAGCTTTCTGATTGGTTTGGAGGATGTTCCCTTTTCCACATCAAGCACCGCCTGAGTCTCAGTGGATGGCTGCCAAGCCTACCCATCCATCTGTCTAATAACATCTAGCCTTTGCTTATTTGGTGGACCTGTAATAAATTATGCTAAACCATTATTATTCTGACAATAATAATTTCCCTGTGTTGCGTGGTTCCATGTGCTAAATGTTTGCTGACTTGCACTGTCAGTGCTGCTTTCCATTGCTGACAGAGATGATGATAAATGACCATTGCCGGAGTGGCAGAAGGCAAGAGAGGCAGAAAATGGAGTCATTTATCATGAGATGACAGGTGTCAGTCAAGTGGCAAGTCTCTATGGAATTACTTTTTGTAGTTTTTCAAATAAGTTGTTTTTAAGCAATGTTCTTCCTGGTTAAAAATGCCAATTGAATTGTAAAACTAGAGTGCAGAGGACTTAGATGGAATTGAATTGAGGGAAAATTAATACAAAGGTTGAAAGAGAGAACAAGTTTTTCTTTGCCCTCTGCAGCCCTCAGCAAACTTATTTAGATTCAATTACTATGACCTTACTGCCTTTTACATATATAGTACATTGCCGTACAGTCTGAAGACATTCCATTCAGTAGATTAAAAATAATTTTTAAATTGTAAAAATATAATAGTATTCCTTATAAGCTTAAAATATGGCCAATAAGCCTGCACTTGGACATTTATGGTTTCTGCATGTGCTCTGTAACACATCATAAAAGTCTTCTTTGTTTGTTGTTTTTTTCTCCTTTTCAGAAACAAATCAAAAGAACACATGCCAAACATCACACTGCTGAAGCTATTGAAACTTACTATCAAAGGTATGACCTACCCACTCCACTAGACGGTATCCTCATATCTACTAATTGTAATGATAATTATGAGTAAATTGGTTTATTGAGATAATTTCCTAATAAATTAGCAGGTTGGAATGAAGAAATTGGATGTACCTAAAAATATTTTCAGTAAAAATATTGTCAGAAATTTTTCAGCATCTTTTAGGCTAAAATACATGATGCCAAGCTTGTATTTCTTAAAACGTGTGGGATAGTATTATGTATTACATATGCTAAAAGTGATGATAGTCTGTTTTGCCAAGATTGATACTGGAAATAGTTAAAACTACTCAAATTTAGGGACCTGCTCCATTGTAATTATTTCTATAAATTAAACTAGAGGTTATGATCTTTAAAGTGGTATATTAAATTAATGTATTTACCAAGTACAGGACTAATTTTAGTTCACTTCTGTTTTAGCAGAAAAAGTGTCAGAGACATCTTTTAAGAAGGAATGAGAACCCTTCATATGTCATTTTTACAAAATTTTACAATTGCATCTTTAGTTAATAAATTGTAATTTTATATCGTACAGGTTTTTTTAGTTCCATTGACTTCTGTAGACATCTGTGACATAATTGGGGCATACTGATAACTGGTAGAGATGTGCAATTAAAATATTACTGTGTAGACTGACATATCTGAAGAGCTTGCATAGGAAGCAAGATAATCCTTGTGATTATAGATGCCTGATACTAGATGCCTGATACTTATGCTTTAATATTATCTTTGTGAATGGGGAAACTAAACAGAAAGATTTAATTTGTAAACAATTAGCTAGTCTCAGTGTTTCTGTTGAGTCACACAGTTAGAACTAAGGACAGTTAATTATATTGGACATCAAGGTAGAAAACCTAATGCATTACACTATGCTATTTCTGCTTAAAAATAATTGTTCTGTCTCCTAACAATTATATTGGCTCTGACTTAGCCTTTCCCTGTGGTTTAGGAAGAATATTAGCTAAAAATGTCACATTCAACTCTATTTCCATGTGATACTCTTCTAATTAATTTTCGTTATAATTTCAGTAACATTACATAAACTGAAACTATTTAATAAATAACACTTCTCTGAACATATTTAAAATACTTACACTAATCTTTATATAAATGTATCATCAGGACACCCACCCTGCATAATAGTGCTGGTCTGTTTAAATTATATATACCTACTGGAGCAGAAAACCTAGAACCAAACCTTGTCGTCTCACACAAGACAGTAGTTTTATTGGTATCAAAATAACTGTTGGCACTAGACTAATTTGAATAAAATAAGCAGGATTTAGCCTGGTCTCCACGTCTGTGTTTTGTACAGTCCAAGTAGCATGGGAGTGTACAACAAATGTTTATGTATGAAGCTCAGCTATGTTGATGGAAGAAATGGTGTAAAAATATTGTTACTGCCCAGGAAGTTAATGCCACTCCTCCCTCTCCCTCCCCCTTTACTTGCCATCGGAATTGGAGGGTGGGGTAGTGGAAGGTGGATAGGTACCTCTGGTGACCAAAATCAGCAGTAGGGGAAAAGAGAAAGTAAGTGACAGTGATGTTTATATTAGCGCCTAGGTTCTGGAGCTGTGCTGAAATTGTGGGTCCAGCAGCCACAGGGTTTAATGCCACCACAGCTTGTGGATTGTCCAGGAAGCCCCGCAGTTTAGATTATGCCCGCGGGACCAAAATGCTGTACTATACTGGGAGAAACCAGTTTGTTTGCTTGTCCCTACTGCCATCTAGAGAAGGCAGGCAAGTAATTGTATTGTGTTCCTCTTCCAGTAGCGGGGGGAAATCATAACCTTTGCCTGTTGGTGGTGGTGGTTGTTGTTCTCATCATCATTTAGATATAGTTGTCACTTTATCCAGAGAGGCTCAGAACCGCTTACAATAACAGATAAGTAACCCACAAGATAAGAAACTACCGCTTTTCCAGGTGACACCCTAAAACTTCAAAAGTCCACCTCATCCCACCCACTCTGGGTTTAGTGCCTATTACTCCAACCTATCCCAACTGTGCTTCCCAACCTTCATTCACACGTAAGTATGCAACACCTCCTTTCCCTCTGACCTGCCCATCACTCCCACTCGCCTGCCTCACACCAAGGGAGATTCCTCCCCACTTCCCAGTGTTACCCTGAATCCCTCCTCTTGTCTACAGAAAGTCTGTGATTATTTTCTGAAATGCATAAATCCCTTAGAAAGATTTGCTGCCACTGGTCCCTAGTGATTTTTTGGCTTTTGCCTATTGGAAACAGGATATAGTGTTGGGTGGAGTGTTGGGGTCCACTTTTTAAAGAACATCTTTTTCTTTCTGATGAGGGCAAAACTAGAGGCCATCCCTTAGAATAGAGTGACCAGTCTGCCATTGGCATCCTGTTTGTGTCACATAGCACGTCAGTGAGGGGATAGGTAGCACAGTAGCAAAAAGCAGGCAGGAAACAAAGCAGATCTGCAGATTGGGCAGAGAAAAGGGGATCAGAGTACTTGGGGAAGGTACAGGGGTAATTTTGTCTGCATTCCAAAATGGTTGTCCCACACTTTTCTAAAGCAGCCAAAAAGCTTTTCAGCACCCTAAGCCAGTTCATTGTAGATCAGAATATGCCTTCAGGCACAGGAAGCTAGTTCATAATAGAACAGGCATAAGGGCTAGAAGATGCTTTTGGCCTGCAATAGATAGAAATGGACAAAGCTGACAACAGGAATATCCACCTGGATGTTGCATTATATCTTTAATGAGCAAGTCCCACTGATCCAACAGTTTGTTTGAAAGAATAACTTGCTCTACCAAGAGTTCACAGGCTTGCATGTTTGCAACGGATTTTTTTTCTCTTAGCATTCATGAAACTGAAAATGTTCATCCCACCCCTTTCCTCCCACAATTTGGATTTCTATCATGACTGTTGTCTTTGAACTTCAAAACCTTTTATAAACATTTCATCCCACAATACTTTTGTGAGCAGTTGTATGTAAATATTGTCACAGCTAAATTAACGCACAGGTAAATTTTGATCTACCCATAGTTACAGCAGGTTGTTACTGGAGTCCTCAATGGATCTCAGATTTCTCATCTCTATCATTGACTAGAAACCACTCTCCCTCTTTTGTTGGCCATTTATTTGTTGAGTGAGGTGGTTGATTTTACCAGTTTATGTAACAGTCTTAAATGTGCTACTGGAAGCAGGTATGGCAGAACTAATATATTTCTGTTTTTGAAGAGGTTGGATGCTATTGTTGCTTTTGTTTGTTTGTTTGTTCCTATATTCCTATCCTACTTCCATCTTTTTCGGGATGGCCACAAAGCACAATTTGACCCTGTTACTTGACAGCCAGTAATCCAAATTGTCCTTACCAAATATTGGAAGAGTCCTCTATACTATTGCAGTGTAAACATATAAGAAATAATACTCAAGGGAAGACATTTCACTTAGCATTCATACTGGCTTTAAAGCCTAAATTGGAAAAGTTAAGCCTCAGTCATTGTTCTATCAATGCCCTTCTTTCACTCTCTCTAACATTCTACACAGTCCAGTCCTTGCTACAAACATTCTTTTAACTTGCTTTTTTATAGTATATATTTGCTTGTTGGTTACTTAATACTGAAAGTTTATTTCACAGAATGAAACTATACTGTCTATCTGGTAAAAATTTGCATATTTGTATCTTTGTGCCCAGTAGTGCATTGTGTAAGATCTGCAGTGATTCATGCCGCTGTATTTGTCCATTTTGAGCTCAAAATCTTCATTTTGAATAATAGAGATCTGTTGTCTGGTCTGCATCTTTAAATAATACAGATATAATTTGATTTTATGGCATAATGCCAACAATATGATTTTGAAAGGTAGTTTTCTTGATTTGTTTATTGTGTTCTTTTAATAAGTTTCTTAATTGAAATTGATACCTCTTACAGCTGTGCAGAAAGTACCCTGATTATCTTAAAATACCTAATTTCAGAAGATTTCTTATCATGGTAGTGTATTGTAGCCAGGTTGTGTGTAACATTTGCCCAAGAGAGAAAGACATGAGATACTAGATAATAACATGCCTAAGCAGGCCTCTTCTTGCCACTACAGAATTTACTTAGCTTTGTCTTGTCTAGGTACCGAAGTAGGGTGATGAAAAATGCAGCTGCCCCTGTATTATTGGAACTAGCCAATGAGGTAATCTTTTTTTTTTTTTTTAAATCTTCCTGTGTAAAGCTTAAGGGGCATATCTACAGTGACTTTACTTATAAATGTAATTAACTTTAAAAAAAGGTTTCAAGGCACATTAGACACACAAAGTTGTTGTGCAGTCTGTTAATACTTACAAAAATTGGACTAAGAAACCCATTTATTAATAAATCAGTTAATATAATTAGTCTCTTAACTTCTTAGGCAAGTGCTTAAGAAACTTGTTAAATTTTTATTTTGCCAAAAAAAAGAATTGGCAGAACTGAGTAGAAGGAAGTGCTTTTTAAGATACTGGCTTGCTTTTAAATTCACATGTTGATTTAAAGGATCTAGACCAATATCTGATTAAAATATGACTTAAAGAAAAAAACAAAAAGAGCAAAAATGTGAATCTAAGGTGTTATAGTGAAGGATTAAAAGCAGTTTGTTTACTTGAAACCTTTTATTTCCATTTATGCACGTTAATAGTTGGCTGATAATAAAGATAGTGTAATATTAACCAGTTAAACAGATTAACATCCAATATCTTCTAAGTTTCTTAGAAATCTTTGTATATGAGGAATTCCATATATTTGCTACTAAAACCAGACAATTATTTATTTATTTATTTATTTTTGGCCACAAACTGAATCTGCCTTGGGACACAAGTTGTTTGTATTAAAACAGTATACTCCAAAGAGTTACCTTGAATGAAGATATAAAAAGTTCATAATAGTGGCAGTGAGCCTACTAAGAAAAAATGAAATATCTAGCCTTTAAACTCTAAAATATTTATTTTACAATAATAATAGCAATACAGTATCTGATATGACTTGGAACTGCGTATGCAACCCTCAAAGGGATAGAATGAAATGTACACTGTTTTGTGTTGCATTTTAATGGATAACATAGGAAGAAGGCAGAAAATGAGTGTTTGCATTAAAAATGATGTGGCACTATGAACATTAAGTGCTGCAATAGCAGCAACTTCTACATGTTATATTAGCAAGAAAGGATGACTTCTTTTTTAGCTTCTTTCTCCTGTACATTGCTGTAGTCAGCAAATGAGCAATTACCTATCAGTTACTAGAAGATTTTAGTAGTCTACGAAGTATCTACACATTCTGATCATACAGTTAACATTATAAGAGAGTTTTTATTTCATATTAGTGGCAAAAGAATACCTTTTTGCTATTTTTGAAAATAGACGGCTATAGATGTATCCAGTACTCGCTATTTTAAATAAAGAAATATTATTTTACTAAGAATTTTTTGGTTAATAACATGGTCTAATATGTCACACGAGAACTGTTAGGGAAAATAACTGCCTCATAAGTGCAAAATAATACCATATTTGTAGTCTTAATTTTGATGGTTTTGTTCAGTGTCTTCATCAACAATCTGAAAAATGAGATGGAGCGCGCCCTCAACAAGTTTGCAGATGATATCAGACTGCGAGGAGTGATAGATAAGCTGGAGGTTAGGGCTAGGATTCAAAGACACCTCAACAAATTGAAGGATTGGACCAAAAGAA